TCTCTAGCCATGTCCACTTTGACCCTGATGAAATGCTACACAGGTAAAAATGTCTCGGGGTGCAATAGACACAGGAAATAGCAGTACTTAGGACATGAAGACTCCGCGTCGCTACTGTGCCCGGGAAGCAGCAGATTTTGACAACATCCCATCTACGTGGGGTTCTGGGTTGTGTGCCTGGCTCCTGGCTCCTGGCTCCTGGCTCCGGCCTGGCCCAGCGCAGACTGTGGCAGGCATTTGGAGAGTGAACCAGGGAACAGGAAAATCTCTCTCTTTCAAATAACCTAATGTTTAAATAAATTTATATACATGTTAAATTTATGTACAAATTTATATACATGTTATAAGGAAATATAGCATGATGATTATGAAAATGTTATATTAGAATAAAATTAAGAGATTGAAATACAAATCTGGGGCCCAATGCAATAGCGTAGTTGTTAAAGTCCTCACCTTGAATGCACCAGGATCCCATATGGGCACCAGTTCTAATCCCAGTGGCCCTGCTTTCCATCCAGCTCCCTACCTTTACTTGGAAATCCAGTCAAAGACGTTCTAATCTCAGTGGCCCTGCTTTCCATCCAGCTCCCTACCTTTACTTGGAAATCCAGTCAAAGACGGCCCAAAGCCTTGGGACCCTGCACCTATGTGGGAGACCTGGAAGAAGTTCCTGGCTCCTGGCTTCGGATTGGCTCAGCCCCAGCCATTGTGGTCACTTGGGGAGTGAACCATCGGACGGAAGATCTTCCTCTCTGTCTCTCCTCCTCTCTGTAAATTTGCCTTTCCAATAGAAATAAATAAATCTTAAAAAAAAAAAAAAAGAAAAAGAAATACAGATCTGGAGAGAAAAGGAGTACTATCAAAGTTCTGGCTTACAAAATAGGCTTTTTTAAAAATAGATGTTAGCTGTCAAGTTACTCAGTTATTTAGATTGTAGCTGGGTATATTTTTTTTTAAAGATTTATTTTTATTATTTTTTTATTGGAAAGGCGGATATACAGAGAGGAGAGACAGAGAGGAAGATCTTCCGTCCGATGATTCACTCCCCAAGTGAGCACAACGGGCCGATACTATGCCGATCCGAAGCCAGGAGCCTCTTCCGGGTCTCCCACGCGGGTGCAGGGTCCCAAAGCTTTGGGCCGTCCTCGACTGCTTTTCCAGGCCACAGGCAGGGAGCTGGAAGGGAAGCGGGGCTGCCGGGATTAGAACCGGCGCCCATATGGGATCCCGGGCGTGCAAGGCGAGGACCTTTAACCACTTGCGCCACCGCGCCGGGCCCAGCTGGGTATATTTTTAAAACTGATACAATAGGTACTTTTGAATGTACTAAAATAATATCCTTTATAACTTTAGACTTACAAAAATTTGTCAATTTTAAAATATGTACAGTGATACATAATATTTCAAAATCTCTGGGAGTGTGCAGGTAGGAAACTTAGGGCCACTGGCGTATATTTTCAAGGTCCAGAAGGACACCGCAGTGCAGTCCATTCCTACAACCATAACTTATCAAACTAAGTCATCCCAGGGATCTTTAACTTGCTTTATTGATCTTAAAGTAATAATCGTTCCTAGACATTGTGTCTTCTACTCTAATGAAGCAAAGTGTTTCATGACAAAGATCTGATTTTCCTCCAAAATCCTTTTGCATTAATTTTAGACTTCAGCTGAAATAGCTAAAACAGGTTTATATTGTCACAATTTTGGAAATGCAGTATTATCAAAACTATTATCTCGGGCCTGGTGCAGTAGCCTAGTGGCTTAAATCCTCGTCTTGCATGAATTCATACATCGGGATCCCATAAGGGCACCAGTTCGTGTCCTGGCTCCTCCACTGACATCCCTCCTTGTGGCCTGGGAAAGCAGTCAAGGACAGCCTAAAGACTTGGGACCCTGCACCCACGTGGGAGGCCTCGCAGAAGCTCCTGGCTCCTGGCTTTGGATCAGCTCAGCTCTGGCTGTTGTGGCCACTTGGGGAGTGAACCAGCAGACAGAAGATCTCTCTCTCTTTCCTTCCCTCTGTATATCTGCCTTCCCAATAAAAATAAAATAAATCTTAAAAACAAACAAACAAAAAAACGACTTGTTAGAAAAAAAAAAAAACTTATTTTTGGGACAAACTGCAGCTATGCAAGAAAAGGAAGCAGCTCTTTTAATTACCCAGACCAAGAGTTTCAAGAAAAATGAATTGTCACAAGTACATCTGTGAGGACTCACAGTTTAGGTCTCATTTGCATACAAATACTTGATTCTCACAGTTTAATGTTTGCTCTTAAAATATGCCTTGACAATCTATATCATTTCCTAACTCTGCATAGCATTCTGCCCTAGCAATATTCCACAGCTTGATGTGTTGGCTAACATTTTATTATTACATGCAATGCTTTCATGACATTCTTACTCTCATGCCTTTACATGTTCATGTGTTGGAGAGCTGACTACTAGAAGAATATTTGATTCAAAGCATACACATTTAATTGTAGTAAATATTACGAATATCTCTAGTAAAGTTATACCCACAGAGTCCCTACTTTGCTATTGAAATTAAAATGCCCCACCAGCATTCCTGAATTTATTTTCTATTAAACTTACCACCTTCCAGCTTTGTCGTTTTCCTTCTCAAATCTAGGCTGTTTTTGTTCATTCCGCTCGCGGAGGAACAGTGCTCGGCGCCTGTCTGAATGGCCGTGGCATTGTGTACACACTGAAGTCTCAGTCATAGCTGATACATGTTTCTCCTTTGGCTCATCTGTCCCTGATGTAAAAACATCTCACCTGACTAGTGAGAAAATAAAGAAACAGTCCCACTCCTTAAGAGCATTTGATACTGGACAAAGCCCCAAGGTTGACTATTAGCAGACCACCTGGGAGAAGGAAGGAAGCTCCTTCCTATTTGGACTCTCAAGGCAGTTAATTATCAAGAAAATGTAACCCAGCCAGTACTGGCCATCCAACCTGTACTGTGCTTGTTTGAGCCCTTCCCTTCCTGTTTCTCTCCTGCCAGTGCCCTAAGGGGCTTGGGAATAGGTACCATCCCAAGCGAAGTAGACACCACCTAGGCAAATGACAGGACCGGTGCTCCACACAAGGCCCAGCCCATTCCCTAGCAGTCCTTGGCCCCACACCCCACACCCCACACCCTTTACTAACAATGGCAGCTTTGTCACACTCTGAGGTTTGGGAGAGCACCAAGTTGCATTGTTTTCCTCAGGCCAGATTTTGATTTGAAGTTGTATAACTAGGAGAAAACAAAGCATAGTGGTTCAAATCCAAGTAGCTGGAGTTCTCTACTTGATAAAATAGTTGCATTTAAACATTTGTTCACCTTGCACCCATGTTAACATTTTTGTAATAAGCTATTTTTTATCAAGATTTGTTTTTATTTATTGGAAATGCAGATTTTATAGAGAAGGAGAGATAGAAGGATCTTCCATCTGCTGGGTTTATTCCCCGAATGGCCACAACTGCTAGAGCTGAGCCAGTCTGAGGCCAGGGTCTCCCACATGGGTGCAGGGTCCGAAGGATTAGCCAGTTGAACCATTGTGCCAACCCCACATATATATATATTAAAAAAAATCTTTATATTTCCTTTACATGTATTAATACCTATAGTGTGTGTTCTCCCTTTCAGTCAGATTTGCACCAAGTAAGAGCCTGGTTTTTTCCTGTTGGTTTTGATAGCTACATTCAAGGCTAATATTATCACCTTTCAAGCTGTCCTGGGAGAGCAAGAGTAATAACTAGGTACTACTTGCAGGCCTAAGTAGCAAAGAGGAAAGACTGGGAGAAGCTGTACAGTCTCAGGAAATTGCATGTTGTGTTTACAATAAATTCCCTTTAATGACTTGCTATATGCTCACTCCACTGCCTATTTCATTTTCTATCCCTGAGAGCAACACAGTGAGATTTGATGATGAGGTTTTAGAAAAGAAGTTCCTTGAAACTTGAAAGCCATTCCATAGTAAGAATGTGAGGGAAAGGTTTGGTGGACGGATAGCAGTAAGCTTCTGTTAGCAATGTCAGAGTAGTGGAGCAGAGATAATAAAGAGCAGAAGCAGCTTCACTTGAACATAACTAACTTGCAGTGGGTGGAAAAGGCAGACACCACACCGGCTTTATCACGTTATAAATAGTAAATCTTTGTTCTGTGGTGGTGATGTGCAAAGATCCCTGGCCAAGCTGTGTCTAAATGGTGAGATACAAATGGGTAGGACTGTCTGGAGAAGCAGCATGTCCACAACTATGTGCAGCGCATTCAGCATGATGTGGGATCAGCGGCTGGAGCAGATGTCATTGGTAAAGGTGGCATGTATGCTGAGAATATTTCTAACAAAACCTTCATGAAAAGTGTGCTTGTCCTTGAGTATATAGTATCTGTATTTAAATATTAATAAGCTGAAAGTATTTGGCACTTCTGTTTCTCCAGTGCCAATTTCACCTGTTGGCTTGCTTCCTTACCCATTGCAGCTGTACAGTCAGCACCTTCATGACAGGCTTTTGCTGAGCAAAGGCATTAAAAGTAGAACTGTTAAGCCACTGAGAGAAACCAAAATGTTGCAAAATAATGTTTGCCTACCTCCTCTTCCTAAGCACCAATTCCAATTGCAGTTAATTTTTGTCACCTTCCGTTCAGGGGAGATCCCATCAGTGACCAGGGTGGCCACTTGTGAACACCTGTTCCTCAGCTAGCACTGTTACCTTTGTATAAAAGCCTGTGCTACTAGTTTTTCACTGGGAGAGGAAACATTTAAAATACCCAGCCTTCTAGGGAACACAACTGATTAATGAAAGTTGATAAGCTCTAGAGGATTATGAAACAGTGATTTCAACCTTGTTTCAAAGAAAAGAACCATTGGAAATAGGGAAATATGTACAAATAAGGTAATTCATTTCCTATGTGAATTATGATTTTACTTTTTAAGCTAACGTAAAAATGTCTCAGCCAATTCGTTTTGGGGAATTATTCTAGAAGGATATTAATAATTAACTTCTTATTGAAGGGAATAAAACCCTGTATCCAACAATTCCGATATGGCAGAAGTGAAGTCACTCTTCCGGGAAGTTCTTCCAAAACAAGGTAAGCACATCACCGATGCCCAGAGGCCAGGGACTGTCACCGATGCCCAGAGGCCAGGGACTGTCGCGGGGACTGCAGGGTAGCAGTGCCGGGCAGCAGGCACAGTCTAAGTGCCTGCAGTTCTTGTGTTTCTCTGCCACCTTTACTGTCCACTGTTACTAGATGACAAGTCTTCAAAGAGTTCATAGAAATGTGTACTGTGAAGAAACTGTGTGGATTTCAGGTTTTTTGTAACAAAATAAGCCTTTTAATTCTGCTTTTCCACCAACTCTGTGAAGTAGCTCATATGCCGTTTTACAGAGCAGCTGTATAAGCAGGAAGTAAATGAAGCAGTTTCTTACGCTGCAGATCCTGCTATACTGAAGACTGAAAATTATATGAAAATTTTAAAAGAGAATAACAGCATTCAGCATGTTAAGGTATGCAAGTGAGAATAACGAAAACAAAATCAAAAATTAAGCTTACACAGGATTTCATAATTGAAACAGCCATGTCAAATTTATGGACTTTGTTGTATTTCTACCTTTTGTATAAATTCTAAATGTTATCTTAAATTAAACACCTGAGACCAAAGGTTGTATACCCAGTGGTAACTTACTCTCGAGGAGGAATTCAAAGCCCGTCTTCCTCAAGAGTACCTTGAGTGTTCAAAAATGTTGCTCACAGGGCGACTTTTCCTGCTCCCAAAGCAGAACTTAGAGTAAGAGATTTTTTTTACTGACAAAGGTCTGTTTTTGGCAAGTCTACATCACCAAACAACTGGGTTATCCTTCTCAAATTCATTCTTATTTCTTGTTAAACTTAGGACAATTGTCTGTGGAAGACGTGACCACAATGGTGCTGTGTAAACCCAAACTTTTGCCCTTAAAGTCTTTGACTCTGGAAAAACTGGAGAAGATGCAACAAGCAGCGCAGGAAACAATTCGCCAGCAAGAAATGGCAGAGCGCGAGCGACAGCAGATCACACAGAAATAACCTGGCGCTTTAGTGCTGGCTGAACCTGCAGTGATGAGAAAACAACCCGAACCTGTATGCCGAAATGTTAATGAAACTGATATTCTTAGAAATGTAAAAACATCCAAGATTGAGGAAACCTGCATTGGTGAATTTAAACTCAGTTAATGCTGAACCAAACTTAACAGGATTTTTTTCTACTTAAACCATGTTTTTTTTTTAAAGTTTCAACTCACCATTCCTAATGCTGTCAGTTTTGTAGGTAACATGGTTAAGAGGTCAACAGATTCAACACAAGTTTAATACAGAGAATAATCTTGGAAATTTGCATCACATAAAGTATTTGTTATAAATTCCGTTATCTTAACTAATTCTGTGTGTCACATCATGTTTTTACTTTGCGTACCAGTGATGATTAAATTATGATTAAACTGGGATTTTTTTTTTGTTTGTATTTTAAGATTTATTTTTATTGGAAAGTCAGATACAGAGAGGAGGAGAGACAGAGAGGAAGATCTTCCATCCAACAGTTCACTCCCCAAGCAGCTGCAGTGGCTGGAGCTGCACCAATCCGAAGCCAGGAGCCTCTTCCAGGTCTCCCGCATGGGTGCAGGGTCCCAAGGCTTTGGGCCGTCCCTGACTGTTTTTCCAGGCCACAAGCAGGAAGCTGGAAGTGGGGGAGCAGGGCAGCCAGGATACGAACCACAGCCCATATGGGATCCTGGCACATGCAAAGCAAGGAGCTTTGCCACTAGGCTACTGTACCAGGCTCAATTAAACTAATCCTTAAGCAAATATCTAAGAAACCGTCACCTATTCTGCAATTAACTAAAGCTCTTAACTGTACTTATTTTTAAGGACTTGAGGCATTTCATGACTATTTTCATGACTCAAGTGTCAAAAACAATGAAAAGATGAACATTGTTATTGTAATTACCTATTTAAAACTAAAGTAATGTGGTTTTGAAAAATCCTATAATGTAAGTATGAGCATTCAATTTGGAGTTTCAATTCTAAGGCAATAATACCAGATATATTCTTAAGAATACTTATGTAGGGCCTGATGTGGTGGCCCAGCTGACTAATCCTCCCCCTGCAAGTGCCAGGATCCTATATGAGTGCCAGTTATTGTCCCAGCTGCTCCACTTCCTAACCAGCTCCCTGCCTGTGGCCTGGGAGAACAGCAGAGGATGGCCCAAAGCCTTGAGACCCTGCACCTGCATGGGAAACCTGGAAGAAGCTCTTGGCACGTGACTTTGGGTCAGCTCAGCCCCAGCTGTTGCAGTCACGTCAGGAGTGAACCCAGTGGACAGAAGATTTTTCTCTGCGTCTCTCATTAATCTTCCTTTCCATAAATAATTTTTTTTAAAAAGAGAATACTTTTGTAAATTATTAATATAATTCTCAGTTGGTTTGTTGAAACCAAAATGCAGTTAAATTAGCAAAGATCTTTAAGTCTTACTGAGTTATAAGGCTCTATCAGAGTTTAGAAATATGTTAATTCTTAGAAATCTAAAGAAGATAGGAGGTAATATTTCTCAGATTGAATACATGAAAATGTTTGAGTCATAACACAAACCATTTTTGGTAATAAGAGTTCAAGAATTACCAAGGCTATTATATACATATCTTGCAGAAATTTAATCCTAAAGGGATCATTTACTATTGTACTTTCAATTTATAATTTTGTAAGAATTATTTTTTAAAAACTTGCTAGGAGCCTAGCTTAAATTCAACAAATTTGCTTCCTTACATTATTTAAAATTAGTGTGAAATTAAAAAGTTGTTTAAAGGAATTAAAATAAATGTACTCTCGAAAAAGTCAACACTGCTTCACATGTTTATTTTGTTGTACATTCTTCTAGAACCGGCTTCATTTTTCCAGTTTTGTAGAAAAATAGATGTTCCAGCCACCATTTACTGAACTGTCTAGTCTTTAAAACCAATCAGTATGTTCCCTGGAAAGATGAATAAGTCTCATGACTACTCATTTTTTCTTAAATTTCCCTAAGACAAAGAAATAACTTTTTTTTTTTTTTACTCCCAAAGCACAGTATTTCAACAGCAGCAGCCAACATGGGGTTTTAGCAGCTCAACATCACCCCCTAAATAAAGCTTTCTATAAACCAGTGATTTTACTACAAAAAACACTGTCCTTGAGAGAAAGGAGTGGCAGTCAGACATCAATGCGAAACTTGGAATGATTGGATCATAAACATGGCACTTACAAAAAGTAGCTTATTAGAATGTTCCACTCAAATAAGTGGTTACTTTTCTGTCCCTCCTTAACCACCTCAAAAAAAAAAAAAAAAAGGATATCTCCTTTTTAAAAAAATTCCCCTTCAATGTAAGTTTATATAAAATTTCCGAAATGACTTGTACTTAAAACAAGTGCTTAAAAAAAAAAAACCTGTGCTAACTCTTACAATTCAGATTTATATTTTTATAACATCTAAGAATGCAAGAGTTCTCATATTCAGTAGCTCTCTGGCTTCAGACGGCCTCCATCTCCTTCACTTACAAAGCGCTTTCTGCCCCTGTAATTAAAAGAACAGATACATGAAAATAAATACAAATTCTAACATATTCAATGGGGGGAAAAACTTCATAATTTCAGGGGCACATACAAGCTTGGAAGAATTTCACTGTCTTAAATTAACATGCTTCTAATTCCTCTGAAAAAGTTTTGCTATACATCTTAGCATAAAACATCAAGTCAGTAAATTGCAGTCAATTTTGTGTTGAAAGTTTGATGATAAGTTCATTATCTAAATGGAACTGTGTTTTTAAAAAGTTTAAAACTAAGACATTTTATTTAGAACTGTAATATGTGTTTCTGTCACATTATGTAAAAGCTAAGGAGTAAGCCAGATGCAAACAAATGATTTAGAATTAGTAAAATTGGCTGTGGAACCCATCAAACTTTCCATGTTTTATTTTAAAAAATTTTCTCAACTGTAGGAAAGACACTGACTGAATGTAAGGAGAAGATAAAACAAAAATAAGTAATTCTAGCCTATGCTTCATTTTGGGAATCCTGCCACTTGAGGCTGAGGAAGCTGAGCTCTGTAAGGTAACCATGCAGGTCCATGGCCAGCAGCCTGTGGCTTGGACTACATTAGCCCTTCCTCTCTGCCCTAAACTAGCATGCAGGGCCAGGTAGCCCACATGCAAACAGGCTCTTCACTCAAGTCAATGTTGTATGTAACACACTCAAAGGTCCCTTCTCAAATAACCCTTGAAAGTAAAGGCAAAATAGGAATCAAGACTTCCAAACATAGGATGAAAACTTCTAAAATAAGTGTTTGTATATACATTTCATATGTATAATAGCTAAGTGAAAATCAACCATACTTTCTTAAACATCAATGCTTCAGATGACAGGAGACCAAGGTGCCTTGCCAAAGTCAAACATTTGTATGGTTATATACCACTTGGCATATAAGCACACAAATGTTGTCTTAACCAAGCAGTTTCTGCACTCCCAAACATTATTGAAACCCCTAAAACTGCATTTTCCACCATTTTCTTTTCCTTCTCTCATAAAAGTTTCAAATCATTCTAGAGCAAAGTGCAGTACTAGGAAACATTTTTCTGCAATTTAATTTTCACAATGCACTAAAATAAAAATGCTCAGTACAGAAATTTTACCAGATAAAAAATTTACAAAACTTAAAACCACGAAGTCGAGCTATTACTAAACACTTATTTACAATATAGGCTTTGTTACTGGCTTTAACTAAACTTAGCTCCTTAGGAGAGTTCAATCCCGTCTGAAAAACATCACACACAGATCCAATCAGCCCCACTTCTCCAACTCGGCAAATAAAGGAAGTATAGTGACTACCACAGGAAATGTCTGAATTCCTGCTCAGAAAAGATGCATTACACTTCGCTCATCTTATTGGTGGCAACTATTCTAAAATAACAAACTACTTAGCACAAAGCAGAGAACAAACTGCTACACAAAATGAGTTCCCTTTCAATGAACAGGTTCTTTGTGAGGTAATGAGAGAAAAAACAAACTTCATAAATTCAACAGATGATTTTTGCTTTTAAGTGCCTTCACAGAAGATAGTATTGATAGAAAACTCTCTCAGCTTTCTCTTCCAGTCACCTCACCAATATTTTATTTTGAGAAAAGTCATATTTAAATCAAGTACCTTGAAGGACACAGATCTCTGAGCTGTCTGGATATTATGCCAGCCTGAAGACACTCCTCCACAAATCGCTCAAGCACAGAGTATGAATGTGGGACATCCAGATTAATGTCAGGAATTTCATTGTAAATTCTCTCATAACCCTAAAACAATGAAATTACATATAGAACTGTTAAGCCATTTAAATGCAATCAACCCAGGTTAGTCTATGTTGAAGAGCTAATTTTCATACAGTTAAAGAGAAGTCAAATTTAAAGTGTGACATAACATTTAAAAGTTCATTTGTTACAGAATGCTTCCTTTAAAACTTTTTTTCTCAAAATTTACTTGAACAACAAAGTGACAAAGAGGAAAAGAGATCCTCCACCCACTGTTAACTCCTTAGATATCTAAATGTCCACAACACCGCAGCCTGAGTGAGAGGGAGAGCCAACAGTCAAATCTTCCATCTGCTGGCTCACTCCTCCAATGACCACAACAGCCAGGACTGGGCCAAGCCAGAGCCAGGAGCGAGGACTTCCACCGTGGGCTCCCACATTGGTAGCAGGGGTCCAGGCTCTTGAGTAACGTGCTGCCTTCCTGGGCCCATTAACAGGGAGGTGACCTGGAAGCAAAGCAGCCAGGACTTGAACTGGCACTGTGATACGGAAGAAACGCCAGTATCATAGGCAGCGACTTAATCCACAGCTTCATAACACCATCCCCTAAAACTATTTTCTTAAAGTGCTAGACACTGGACAAATTCCCCACCTACTTCTCTCTACACACTTAATACCTTTTAGAAAATATGGGGTAAATAAGAACCTCACAAAAAGGGCCAGAATTGTGGCATTCAGGTAAAGCTGCCACGTGTGACACTGCCAACCCATGTGGGCACTGGTTCGCAACCCAAATAGTCCACTTTCAACCCAGCACTCTGCTAACATGCCTGGGAAAGCAGTGGAAGATGGACCCCTGTACTCATATGGGAGACCAGAAGCAGCTCCTGGCTCCTGGATTCGGCCTAGCCGAGCCCAAGCTGTTACAGGTGTTTGGGAAGTGAGCCAGTGGATGGAAGATAGTTCCCTGTGTCTATCCCTTTCTTTTTGTAACTCTGCTTTTGAAATCAATCAATCTCCTTTTAAAGATACCCTCACAAACATTTCAAAAACAATGTGTATGTGTACAATTTTAAATAGAAACTTATGCAGTAAGGTATAATTTGTTAAATGCTTCTGTCTCTAGGTACAAAATAGAAATGAACACATCTTAGAAAATGAACCCCTGGAGATAGAACATACGAGCATCTTTCTTAAAAATTAAAACTCACTGAGGTGTTACTTTTCAAGAAATGGTTTCAAGAGGTTCAAACCTCAAACACTATTTAAAGAAAAGCAAAACAAAAACAGACAGGCATTTGGCCTACCAGTTGAGACACTGCTTGGCACATCTGCATCCCATATTGGAATGCTTGGATTTGGGTCGCACTCGATCCTCAGTGTCCACTTTCCTGCTCACATGCAACCCTGGGCCACATAGCTGGGTGCCTGCCACCCATCCAGGAGCCCTGGGCTGTGTTCCTGTCACCCACACTCAGCTTGGCCTGGTCCTGGCTACAGACACTGGGGGATTAACCGAGGGATGGGAGCACTCTCTCCCTTTCCTCCTCTCACCATCAAATAAATAAATGTTTAAAAAGTCAATAAACAAGGACAAGCACAAGCACTTGCAGTTAAAATATCACATTGCCTCTCACAGCCCTTGGTTCAAGTCTCCACTCTACTTTCAATTCTCGTGTCCTACCAGTGTGCTGCTTACACAATGGCAGGGAGTGGCTCAAGTTGCTGGGTCCCTGCCACCCACGTGAAGACGCAGCCTGTCTGCCCTGCTCCAAGCGTCGGCCTCTCCCAGCCTCTGGCAGTCCAGGCAGTCGGAGGAGGGGGAGCCACGGATGGAATTCGAATTCCCTTTCTTCTACTACAGCTCCCACCCCCATGTCAAATTTTCAAAAGAACATCAACAACAAAGAAAAAACACTTATTAAAAATCAGAAGTAAATGAAGACACACACCCATGTCCCACAAGAGTGCCTGGATTCATCCCAGCTCAGCTGGAAAAAAGCAATCATGGAACCTATAGACACAATACAAAACAAGCCAAAAAGAAAACTACACTGATAGTCTTTATTTAGTAATATAATAGAGCTTTAATGCTAAAAATTATTTAAATAATGTTATACTTACTCTTTTCATTTGGTCTACAGTAATGGTAGATGACTTCCAAAGGGATTTTAACAAATCCAAAATCATCCGAAATGTGCTTTCTCCGGTTGACTCTAAAACCATTACAATAGCCTAAAGTTGAATGAAAGAATACATTTTGGTCATTAATTCATTTTTAAAACCTGAAGTGAATCGAATCCTTTCTATTTAACCATGCTATGGTTTTATGATTGTAGAACCATGGCAAAAATTGACCAGGTACTTTCTCAATCTTAAAAGGATGTGATTTTAAAGAAGCATTAAGTCACTGTGGTACTAAAAGGGCCACTTGGCAATTCTTGTTGGCACGTTAAAGTACTCTTACTTCATACACAAGCTCATGGTGAAAATGAGGCACTTCCAGCTCCTTCAGGCAGTGCTCAGCTTCAGATATGTCTCCAGAGAGCAAATACTCTTTCAGCAGCATGTCAATCTATAAGATTGCAAAGTTGAGATGCGTTAGAATGCTTTTTATCTTTTTAATCAAATTTAAGGAAAAAAGGCCTCAAGGAGTCCCAGGCCAGCACCCTCCATCCCCCACTGCACCCCTGTCCCCACCCTGCCAGGCCTCAGGATAGGGCCTGCAGCACCCACAGGGCGGCTCCTGGTCCACCCTGCAGGCAGTCGGCCTGCCAGTGTCTTTCTCAATGCAGAACCAGAGGGCAGGGACACAAAGGACCCAGGTTGCAGCTGAAGGAATTCCTGGCTTTTAAAGAGCTGGGATTGTCTGAAGGATTTATTTACCTACATCCTGTACATTAAACAAACAGGTCATAAAGAACTGTCTCAGACCATAGAGATTTCAGAGGATACCACAGTAACTTTTTCACTAATAAATCACCAATTTTCAAATGGTGAATGCCATACTTCAGTGTCTAAACAGTCACTAAGGAGGAGGTTAACAATGCACAGCCAACCTCGCACCATGATCCATCAGTGCTCCCACTGGGACACAGCACTGTGACACCAGCAGAGGGCACTAAATCAAAGTCTCACTAGGATTTTTTTTTTAGATTTATTTATTTTTATTGGAAAGTCAGATATACATAGAGCAGAAGAGACAGAGAGGAAAATCTTCTGTCTGATGATTCACCCCCCAAGTGACTGCAATGGCCAGTTCTGCAACGATCCGAAGCCAGGAGCCAGGAACCTCCTCCAGGTCTCCCACATGGGTGCAGGGTCCCAAGGCTTTGGGCTGTTCTCTGCTGCTTTCCCAGGCCACAGGCAGGGAGCTGGATGGGAAGTGGAGCTGCTGGGACTAGAACCAGAGCCCACATGGGATCCCAGCATGTTCAGGACGAGGACTTTAGCCTCTAGGCCACGCCACCAGGCCCACTATGAATTTTTAAAATGGCACAAGACAGCTTACTTTCGTTAGGATGATTTAATAGTGGACTGGGGAGCCAACAAAAGGGAGTAATCAGAGTATTATCAACAAAGATTTCTTTATAACTAAGGATTTAAAACTCATGATGTAAAACATTCTTCGATAATTCAGCTCCTGGTTGTGGACACACCTTGACTTGCTTGCCCAAGTGCAGCACAGTACTATCTGTGGTTCCAGAGAGCCTCTACCAGGAACCATCTTCCCTACATGCGCGGCTGTTAGAACTCCCTTTGCATCTACTGAACAAGCAACGAACAGAGTAACTGAAGTTACTTTCAACTTCTGCTATATATTTTCATAAAAAATAAAATTTGTTCACTATGATACACTTCGGTGAGTTTCCATAATCACACTTTAAGAAAGTGAATATGTAAAGCATGGCATTTAATTTGTATTATTTCATAAATATATATTAATCTTTTGTTTACACTGTTCCATTTCAGTATTTATTATGTAACTCTAGTAAGTTAAATGGGGCCCAGCACAGTAGCCTAGTGTCTAAACACCTCACCTTGAGTATGCCAGGATGCCACACAGGTGCCAGTTCGTATCCCAGCTGCCTCTCTTCCCATCCAGCTCCCTGCTTGTGGCCTGGGAAAGCAGTACAGGACAGCCCAAAGCCTTAGGACCCTGCACCCACGTGGGAGACCCAGAAGAAGCTCCAAGTTCCTGGCTTCAAATCAGCTCAGCTCCTGCCACTGTGGCCACTTGGGGGGTGAACCACCGGGCAGATCTTTTCTCTGTGTCTCCTCCTCTCTGTAAATCTGACTTCCCATTAAAATAAATAAATAAATAAATCTTAAGGGTAAAAAAAAGTACATAAATGTTGCCACACCAAGTATGAGAATAATTTACATATGCATTTCTGAAAGTCATCTTTAGTCAACCCTTTCTTCTAAGTAAATGCAAATTATTTCAACTTTAAACTCACTTACTAGTAGTTTCAATTTTTAATTTTCCATTTTTTTGCTGAGGTTATTCATATACCACAAAACAATTTGGTAATTTCTCAAAATGTTAATTTTGAAGAACTTTATGACTATCTTAAAACTACTAAACATTATAATCTTTAAACATGGTATTTATTTTTTCATTCCTTCCAACATTTTTCAGCAGCATACATGCAGTATATAAGACTTGCATTTGGTCTGTTACACTTATTCCTAAGCATTTACTTTTAGGTATTATGTAAATGCAATTGTTTGTTTATTTCATCACAATGACATTGCTTCTGCATATTCATCTTACAGCCTGTAACACTGTTGAATTAATTTGTGCTTAATAGTCTGGCTTTAAGGGGAGGTCATTCTGTAGATTCTCCAATTTCTGTTCATAGATTATGTCTTGTGAGAATAGAACTAATTTTGCCTCTTCTAAGTCTGGACTCCTTTTTTTCTTAACTCTTCTGGAATTTTGACTATGTTTATACCTTAATTTTCCTATTAATTCTATTTTGCTTTAAAGAATACACTGAAATCATCACACTGCAGACACAAAACCACCTATTATGATATATGTGAAAATAAATTTGATCTAGTGATCTAACTATACTTTGAACTTCTTAACACTTAAATTAGGGGTTCATGTGTATGTGTATATATATATATATAATTAAGACTTATCAAAAAAATCAAAATTATAGTCACACAAGAAAATTATACTCAAAAATCAAAAGCACATGAAATATAAATCTTCTAATTATATGCCTTTTCTAATTACACAGAGATAAAGAGATTAAATATGTCCTTGGTTTCTTATATACAACACTAAATTACAGAAAATAATCCATGGGGAGTAAATCTGGCATTTTAATGTGATGAAAATTATTTTCTTTTGAATCGTGCATTTAGGGGTCTTCAGTTACATATGAAAGGTCTTCAAAAAAGTCATTAAAATTATTATGAAAAAAATATGGATTACAATTTTTTTGTACCAGATAAACATTTTAATCCCATTTTCCACAGATTTTTAAGAAATACTCTTATGAAAGTATTAATTCAACTTTTCATCTTCAGACTGAACTTTTCTCTACAAGAAGACCGCATAGTAGGCATGGTTTAGTTTACTTAAGATAGATATAGATTAGGGTTAAGACACCACCCACAGTACCTCTTTAACCAGGTGATTGACAGGCTGCTGTCCACCTCCGGAGCCCCACACACTGTCCTTGCGCCTTCCGCCTTTAGACATACTCAGGAGCACGGTAGCCTTATCCAGAGCCGCTCTTCCAAGAAAACAAGAGAAAATGGTGTGATACTTAGAAATGCCTGAAGTTTACACCAATTATGAAAAAAACAATGGAAAAAAATCCCATGTGCACTAAAAACGTCCACATTAACATAAAATTAAAAATTCAAAATTATTACAGCATAGTAAGTTCTGCCTACAACATATGGACCGTGGTTCCCAGCTCCCTGTTGATGTGCCTGGTGGCAGGGTATGGGGAGGGGACAGTAAAAGAGGGCCTGGGTCCTGGGACCCCTGTACCCACATGGGAAATCTGAAGCAGCTTCCAGCCCCTGGCTTTGCACTGACCCAGTCCAGACGCCGTGGCTATGTGGAGAGTGAACAAGTGGAGGGAAGTCTGCACTTTCTCTGAGTCTCTCCCTGTATCTGTCACTCTGCCTTTCAAATAAAAACAAATATTTTCTTAAAAATCAAAAATTGTTTTTAAAAATGTTTTAAATAAAAAGGAAGAAGCAGGGGTCAGTGTTGTGACATAGCCTATTAAGCCACCATATGTAACACCAGCACCAATTCAAGCCCCGGCTGCTCCACTTTCAATCCAGCTCCCTACTAATGCGCTTGGGAAAGCTAAAGATGGCTCAGGTCCTTGGGCCTCTGCAGCCATGTGAAAGATCTGGATGAAGCCCTTGGTTCCTGGCTTCAGCCTGGCCTAGCCATGGCCATTGCAGCCATTTGTGCCTTACCTTCTTTCTCTGTAACTCTGGCTTTTAAATAAATACATTAAAAAAAAAAAAAAAAAAAAAGGGAAGCAGAGTCCAGTCCCGTGGCTCAATGAGCTGATCCTGCACCTTCAAGCACCAGCATTCCATATGGGTGCTAACTCATGTCCCAGCTGCTCCACTTCCCATTCAGCTCCCTGCTTACTGCCTGGGAAAGCAGTGAACGATGGCTCAAGTGAGTGGGACCCTACACCCACATGGGAGGCCTGGAAGAAGCTCCTGGCTCCTGGCTTCAGATGAGCTAGGCTCTCGCCGTTGTGGCCACTTAGGGAGTGAACCAGCAGACAGAAAATCTTTCCCTCTTTTTCTCTCCTTCTAATTCTGGCTTTCAAATAAAAATAAGTCTTTAAAAAAGGAAGCAAAGAAAAGACAATATTCATAATCTATTCTATTTCTCATTCTAGAAGTCAAAAGATATTACAAACTAATCAATCTACACTGCAAAGGAACATTTCACTTTTAACTAACTCAACCTAGATCCATGCTTCCTACTCTCACAGACCACTGTACCATGACAGGAAGAAGCTCTAGAAAATTAGTATCTAGGCATGAAAAAACGTAAAGCATGACTATGCCTTAATCTAAGCCTTAAAAAATCTGAAAGCAGATTGAACAACTACCACAACCCAACAAAGACAGCAAATATCTGGGTGAATGGAAACTAAGGTGGACTATGTCAGCCAATGGACATTAAACATGCTCCCTCATCCCTGGATTGGCGAGATGGACAACATTTCAGAACTATCACAACCACCTGGGCAGAACCCTCAGAGCATATGCCACATCAGGACACTGGGTCAATACTGGGTGGCCATTCCCTATCCCCAGATACTGGAGCAGTTGGGAAACTGGGTGTGGCCTCTCCCATTGCATCCTCCTTCCCCCCAGATGCAGGAAAAAGAAATGGAAAACTTGGAAACAATGATCACACCCATTTCTCCCTGAGCCTCAATCCTTCCCACCCTGATCAACTATGTAAGCATCATCCAAAATAAACATTTTTTTAAAGAAAAAAATCAGAAAGCATAATTCCCAATAACAGATTCAGCTATAGTTAACTGCACTAAAGAATAGCAGTTGCAATTTTTCTAAGGAAAGAAAATTATATATGTAAATGAGATTACTCTGTTAATATGTCTATCTTGCTGGAATATTAAGTAACTAGAGAGCGTCAGGACCTGTGGTTAAGGTTTCATAAGGCCCAGAAGAATAGCTGTGCATGAAGTCCCAGCTAACAGCTGCAACCTCTTGTTAGCACTGCCTTCCTCCTGCCACATCAGGCTGACAACTTTCCAGTGCTGTTTCAATAGCGAAACTAAAGATAAATGACAAAGAAATGTCAACAATCTAATGCACGTGTAATTTCAGTGGGATCCACAGAATTTCCCCCAATGTTCACACTCTAAGGAAAATTAATTTACTTACCTAGCCTGTACACAATCTACAGTTCCTTTGTAACTGTCGATATAAGTGTTACATAAAATTCCATCTCCAACAGCTCTAGCAATAAATTGGCCCACTAACTGTAAGAAAAAAAAAAAATTATATAAAAGGATCTAAAACAATGTCATAGGAAAGAGTTTCTAAATCTATAATGAAGATTTTCTATACAATCACCACATAAGTCATGTTAGAATCTTCAATTAAAACACTTGCTTAGAATATACTAGTTCTGCCTGGCATATACTCCACTAACTTAAGTAATACTACAGTAGAAGTCACATCTGTTTTTTTCGCTTTCTACTGAATTTCCAAAACCTTGTACCCTACCTGATAACCCAGCATACAATCAAAAGTATTCATTAAATCAATGAGTTTCAATGAGGTGAAACTTCTTTTTTTAAAATAAAGATTAGGCATTCTTAGGGCTGGTGATACGGCATCGCAACCTAAGCTTCTGCCCGCAGCACCAGCATCCCGTTTGGCACTGGCTCGTGTTCCAGCTGCTCCATATAGCCTGGAAGAGCATCAGGGGACAGTTCAAGCGCTTGCGCCCCTGGACCCATGTGGGAGACCTGGAAGAAACTCCTTACTACTGGCTTTGGATTGTTTGGGGAATGAACCAGTGGATGAGAGATCTCACGGCTACTCCTTCTTTCTGCATAACTTTGCCTTTAAAGTAAAAATAATAAAAATATTGTATATTAAAAAAACTTTCTCCTAAAGAGAAAGAAATCTTTCACTAAAGAAATTTAACTTGGGGCCAGCATGATTGCTTAACGAGCTAATCCTCTACTTGCTGGTCACCAATATCCCACTCTGGTACCAGTTTGTGTCCTGGCTGCTCCACTTCCCATCCAGCTCTCTGCTAATGGCATGGGAAAATAGTGCAGAATGGCCCAAAGCCTTGAGCCCCTGCTGTCATGTGGGAAACCCAGCAGAGGCTCCTGACTCCCAGCTTCAGACTGGCTCAACTCAGACCATTGCAGCCATTTGGGGAGTGAACCAATAGATGGAATATCTTTCTTTCTCTCCTTCTTTCTTTAAGTCTGCTTTTCAAATAAAAATAGATAAATCCTAAAGAAAAAATAAATCTAACTTCTGCATTTATTTGAAATATAGATGCATAGAAATATCTGATAATTTGTTCACAGAATTATAAAAAGAAACCAGTGTCTAATAGTAAAGATACATGATATGAGAAAAATAAACTTTTTAAATTATAATTATTTTTAAATAAACCAAAGGGATACATAAAAGTCATACATTTTATTGTATACCCATATAAGGGAGGATGGAACCTTAAAATGTTAACACTTGTTATTTGTTCAAATTTTTAATTACACAATAAAAATGAACTTACATACACGTTCTCCTAGAATACCAGTGTGAAAAGGAACACTGGGTGGGTGCTGTGGTGTCAGGGCATTCATACCCCCATGCAAATGCCTGCGTTCAAACTCCGGCCACCACACCCACTGCACTTCCAAGCCAGCTTCCTGCCAATGCACCTGGCAGGCGGATGATGGCTCATGTTTCTAAGACCCTGCTACCAGCATTAAGGACTCAGATGGAATTCCAGGCTCCTGCCTTCACAACTGGCCCAGCTGTGGTTATTGCAGGCATTTGAGTGAATCGGCAGACAGAAACTCTCTCTCTATTCTTCTTTCTCCCTGTCACTTTGCCTTTCAAATAAATATTTCTTTTACGATGGGGGTGGGGGCCAGCCATGTGTCACAGACTGTCACTGGAAAGTATAACACAGACAGCATTTTAGAATTAACCCACCTATATTCCAAGTTCATGCTTATACGTTCCAAAAAAGGAATAATTTCATGTTTTCCAAGATACACAGGAAATCTTATTTAGGATTATTTTTATAATGAGCATTATTAAATCATTTTAACCAATCACAATTTGTATTTTTCTAAATCCTAGCTAACAGCTTAATTACACATAATACAGAATAGTATATACAGAAAAATACACAAACATACAAGTATTTATATAACCTAAAAACCATGAAGCGTAAGGAGGAAAGTCAGATTATAAAATTAAACTTGGTCTGATGAAAACTATGTTTAAAAAGGAAACGATCACCTACCTATTTTTTATACTACTGGAACTGTGGGCCATTTCCCTTCCATTTACTAAAATGTCCTAGAAGCATGGTATTATTTCTACAACAGGAAGTGAAGTATAGGGAGAGAGTGAACAAAAAGAAGAATCGTACAAACCTGTGGTGCTCTAGGAGTGTCCAGTGCTAACTCGGGCAGATCTTTCAACAACTTATCAAATGATTTCTCCACATCATTTGTGCTCATGACCGTCCCACAAAGATCAGACAGAAGCTTGGATGTCATCTCTCTGTGACTTGCCTTCCCCTCCAGTGCTAACGACACTGCCAGAACTGGTACTCCACTTTTCATTTCACCAAGATTTAAATCTCTTAGCATTTCCTATTTTTAAAAAACAAAATTTTATAAATTTTATTATTCTTTTCTATAAAATGTTATTATAGTTTAATAAAACTTTATCTTTGAACAATCAAGACTTTATTTGTATGTTCTCATATCTCCCTTTTTTGGAAATAAACAAAGAAGCAGTCATGTTTTGTGGGAGATAATTAATATATCTTCCTCTACTTATAAATTAGATAAGGTTCCACTTGGTCAAGTCTTAACTGCCTGAACACCATTCAATTCAAGAATAGGAATTACACTTAAAGTTTTATTAAAGTACATTTTACTTTCAACTAATTCTGGTACGTTATAAACTGTTACTGATGCAATGTTGGGGCTTTCAATTGATTGGGATGATACTCTTTCGGCTGTACCTTCAGACCAGAAATTGTCTCCCCATGAAACTGTTGAACCTATCTGCACAATAAGATGCTGGACTCTATGTTTTGTAAATGCTTGCAAGGGAAAAAAATCTCAACTGAATTTGATCTGTGGTAATGAAACAAGATGGAAGAATCCACCATGGGGAGGGAGCAGGTTTTGGGGAGGGGAGGGGGGAATCCAAGTGCCTGTAAAACTGTGTCTCATGATGCAATGTAATAAAAAAAAAAAAAAGTACATTTTACTAAGTTGGATATTAAGAGTTAACTAATCTTCTGCCTTATAATCTATTAGTATTACTTCTAGGAATATTATTTTATGACCATCTGTGGGGAGCATTTTACGTTACCATATGCTGTTTATACTCTATTTTTCTTCAAGATTTCTCTTACCACAAGAACTTATACTTCTATGTAAGCTTAGACTGAGATCTTAAACAACTGTTTTAAAGGGTATTAATGTGCTAAATGCTAGCAAATTTTCCCATTAAAATTGTAATAAACAGAAAGAAAGGAATTCTAACATTCTATAGCATAGTAGAGTGAAAAACATACTGCATCATTTAACAGTAGAGATACATATTGAGAACTTTATCTGTAGGCAATGTCCTCAATCTGCGTATGTAACCATGCATTAAAACTAAAATAGTCATGATATCACTAGGCAACACCATGCAGTATGCGCTCATTGACTGAAAGGTTCATACACAGTACACAGTGAGGGGACTCTGACCAACACAAAGGATGTCTGAGGTAACAGTGGTGCTGACTGCCCTAATCTGATCATTGCACACTGTATACGTGTACCAAAATATACTATATCCCAATGTATGTACAGTGTCAAATAGCAAATATATTACATTAACATGCCTACATATCCAAGGCCTAAAAAAATTAAGCAATAGCTGAGGATACACAGGACTGGCCAATCTAGAAACGTAATCAGGCAGTCAACTATTCAGACCATCCTGAGTGACTGAATGACCTCCTCCTTACTGAAAGTTTTCTCAGATGCTAGAGACCACCGTGTGCTATGAGAGTGCCGGAATTATTTTCACATGCACCAACTGGTGCCTTGTTAGTGTTCTCCACTCCTTATTACATTTCATCTTCCCTTAACTACTTATTATTTTCAAGCAGAATACTACTGTTTCTAGAAAACCCTCTTCAACCATTTTCAGCTGATGCAGAATCATCTCTTGCTCTTCATGTCTTAGTTTTTAAAAACTCTGCTCCTAGCACTACTCAGTTAAGAGTAGACTATTGGTTCTGTGCCAACGGTCCCTGTCTTCACATATTCATGTAACACGTTTTTTCACATATCTTAATCATCGGTTTATATACAACTTCCTTCACTTGACTGAGTTTCCAAAGGGCGGGAATTATCCATCACAAATTCCTACATGCGGTATGCACTGAACAAATATTTGTTTTGTGTTAAAATCTAAAAACAAACAAACAAATCTAAAGATACCAAGCCTCACAGTATCGGCAAATCAAGAAAGTCCTGTCTGAATTTCAAGAACCTCAGTTATGAAAGGCTTACAAACAGTCACCATGGTATTGCTTAAGCTTCATAACCCTAACTAGACCAGTGATTTTATTTTACCCTTCTAGATTTACTTTAGGATCAATTCAAACTCAGCAAAGAAAACACTGCTTGAAAAATGTGTTTTAAAATTTTTAAAAACTATCCTCTTGGTGTATTTTTTTAAATCTCAATTTTATTGTTATCAATTTTTTAACAGAGTAGAAAGATAAGTTATGTTAATACCAAACACTGAAATAACAGACAAAAAATAAAATTAAATCAGATATTCTTAACTTAAATGTCTGAAGCGGTTTCAGAGGGTCCACAAATGCACTGAGATTGCTAAAATTATATTTTATGAATCATAAAAATGTTACAGTTTACACGTGATCATTATTAAAATACTCCATGCTTTTACCACATCCCTAATATGAAAGAACTGGTTTAACATAATGAAATTTTAACCCATTGCTGAGAAATTCACTTACACAAAACAAAATGCTCAATCAACAATCCAAGGTGATTCTAAATATGTTTTGATTATAATAGCAGTTCCTCCATATATTAAAGAATTTGTAACCTTAAACATACCGCAACTTCATTTGTATCTCCATGCTCAAAATATTCCTGAATGATTGGTGTCAAAGTCTTCTCAAACGCCCTTTCATCCAAAGGCAAAACTACAGTTTCATAAACACAGTTTTCCTGTGAGGGGCAGAGAAAGAGTTATAAATTAAAGAACAAAATTTCAGATAAACAGGAATGGTTATACAATTTTGTTAGTACATTCCAAGTAGTTAGTTATCTCCATTTAGGGCAAGATAAAAAAACAAGTCACGTATTGACACATTATTAAAGATGAAATCTGTATGTCACTGTTGTTATATAAAACGTGAATAAGTCAATGTACAATCTGAATCAGTAACTACAGCAAACATGACTGGCTCCCAACTCCTTTAGTTTTCTGTATCTCTCACAACCAACCTTTCAGTAAGTGAAAACCTTCAAGTTGTCTTCCTAGCACATGAAACGCTTCATTTACAACTACAATTTCAAAAAATAAAGTTGATGTCCATCATTAACTCATTCATCTCATATAAAAGAAAATGTTTATTTTTAACTAGTTTTACTGACTTCAGTCTTCGAAGTATATGTTTACACTTCAAAAAATAACAAATATCTAATGCACTTGATAGTATTTGACTACCACGGACTATAAATATCTATATTTCTAATATCCTCTTAGAAAATAAAACCTGGTGTTTTACTGTATGAAATCCTAATTATCACATCCTAACCTATGCAATCACAGTACATGTAAAAAAAAAGTTACAGTATCTGAGATTTGCTTCAACATAACCTAAGAACTCTTGGAATAATCTTCCCCACATCGGGGGCTTGGGCATCATCAAATGACTGTCCCCCATCCCCGAGTGCTGAGGTAGTTTGACAGCAAGGAGCACCCTTCCATGTCCCTCCCTTTGGACACAGGAGAAAAAAAATTGAAACATTTATCCTACCACATTCTTCCATATCTGGACCCTCCCCCACATGCATGCACCCTCCTCAACTATGTAAACATATTAAAAATAAAATAAAATAGCCCAAGATATGGTGGGAGAAGGAGCCAAAAAAAAAAAAAGGCTGAATGTATGGTATAGGGTAGAACATAACTGCCTGTGAGGTAATTACTGGAGTTGATAAAACTGAGATGAGTCCAAAGATAGAAGATGACATCAATTAATTACTCTGTTTTAAAATTTTTCCATTAGAAAAACATTTATGTTAAAAATTCACTACAAAATTTTTTTGAAAATATAGTCTCAACATTACCCCCAGAAAGAACATAAACATGGGGCAGATTTGGGGCAGCAGTTAAGCCAGGACACCTGCATTCTATAACGGAGTCCCTGATTAGAATCCCAGCTCTCCTTCAATTCTAACTTCCTGTTCCTGTGTACCAAGGTAAGCAGCAGGTAACGGCTCAAATGCTTGAATGAGTCCGGTGCTTTGATGAGAGACTCAGACTGAGTTCAAGGCTCCAAGCTTCAATCTGCCCCAGCCCCGGCTGTTACAGACATTAGAGGAATAAACCATAAGATGGAACATCTTTTGTGGTTTTTTTTGCATTTCAAATACAAAATGAAAATAAATTTTAAAAGATATTTATTAACTTCAAGGACAGAGATACAGAGAGATGGAGGGACTGGCAAGAGAGAGAGATCTTCTGTCCTTGGTTCACTCCTTAAATGGCCATAGTTGCTGGAATGGGCCCAGGGTGAAGACATGAGCCTAGAACTCCATCCAGGTCTCCCAGATGGGTAGTGGCAGCCGAAGAACTCGGGCCATCTTCTGCTGCTTTTCAGGTGTATCGGCAGGGAGCTGGACTGAAAGCAGAACAGCCAAGACACTGAATCTGCACTCCAACGTAAGATGCTGGCATTGCAAGAGGTGGTTTGCCCCTTTGTGCCACAATGCCATCTACACTAAACAAAATAAAAATTTAAAAACAGAAAGGGGGCCCGGCGCAGTGGCGCAGTGATTAAGGTCCTCGCCTTGCACGCCCAGGATTCCATATGGGCGCCGGTTCTATCCCGGCAGCCCCGCTTCCCTTCCAGCTCCCTGCCTGTGGCCTGGGAAAGCAGTCGAGGACAGCCCAAAGCTTTAGGACCCTGCACCTGTGTGGGAGACCCGGAAGAGGCTCCTGGCCTCGGATCGGCATAGCATCGGCCACTGCGCTCACTTGGGGAGTGAATCATCGGACGGAAGATCTTCCTCTCTGTCTCTCCTCTCTGTATATCTGCCTTTCCAATAAAAAAAATAAAAATAAAATAAAATAAAAATAAATCTTTAAAAAAAAAACAGAAAGGTACATATGGTACAAAATAAATACTAAAAAAACAAAAATATAGAAACAGAAAGATGCATATGGTCCAAAAGGTATCACAATCTTTATCTTGAGCAACATTATTAAAAACAAAATTAATATCCACACAACTTATTCATGACATTCAAAAGAACATGTTATTCTAAATTATCATGACTATAAAAATAAACTACACTAATTCAATTTATTGAAAAATGGTCAACTTTGCAATCCTAAGTGAATTTGCAAAAAACTATCTGATTGCTCTTCAGAAACCAGGCAACAATCATGCATACATTACTATCTGTTAACCTGGTTTCCTATTGCAGAATAAACCTGAATAAATCTGAAATTACTGAGTATAAGACTGCACACTACGGTATATATACATGTGCATATAAACACTTGTACATGCAATTTAACAGCTCTGCATGTATGCGTAAACACATCTATACATAAAATCTAATGAACGTATGAGTGAACTGCAAACATGAAGTCAGAATGTTTAGCAACACTGCCAATTCCAAAGTACAACATGGTTACCTGGTCATCCTCATAGTTGGGATCTTTCACATCGACCTCCTCCACATCATACACTTGTCCAGGGGTCCCCCAGACGCCTTTGCCTCCTGCACCGCCTGAAAAGGTCACAGTCAAGAAAGGAAAGATGAATAGTGCATAAAGTAATGTAAATTCAACATACTTCTAAGTGTTTATTTGTAAAATAATAGCTTAAAAATTCATTTCTATGCTAGCTTTTCCCAACTGAGAATTATATTCTAAATTCCTTTTTATTCAGACTCCTTTTCAATGACTAGCTTGTATATATTTTATCTATTTCTGCAAATGTTAAACTGAAATCACTTATAAAAACTAAAAAGGCAGATGGCTGAAAACAAAAGCAAAAAGTGAAAAAAATCCCAAACCAGCTATCCTGAGGACCCGAGGGAAGTGATGGAGCAGCTGAGCTCCAAAGGTTATTTTACACTTCTTGGGCCCAAAACGAAAAGAAACATACTGAGGCAGTAAAATGTGGCATAGAAAACAAGGGGAAAATTATCTAACAAAGAAACACAGTGAATATCACCAAAAGTTTTAAAGCCAAATAGTTTTCAGATGTGAAAATACACATTAAACTATAATTTCTTTGCAACCAGCAGCGTTACAGATACTAAACTGCTATTTAAAAAATAACATTGATTATTTTTCTCCACTCCTATATTCAAACCAACTAGCAGGCACTGAAAATTCAAACTTTCAAAGATGCTTTTTTATATAAACTTACTTAAGCCTTTTTTTATGGCCCAATATGTTATTTTCCCAAGAACAATTGCAAAGTGACCAACATTGCTTTTTTGAAAGTTTTAATTTTTTTTGAAGTTTTCATTTATTATGTGAGGTATAATCCTTGACATCAGAGCAAAAACAAACTTGGCCGTTTGATTTCATTTTGATTTAAACAATGATTGCATACTTATTCAGTAAGAATTTTTGAAGATAACAAAAGTACTTTACAAGCATCCTAGACTATAAATTGAAGGCCCCCACCACTCAGAAGCTGGTAAAACCTCCAGACAACTGAACTCCTGCACAGACAGAGGGTGATGCCACACGTGACAGTCACGACTGCAGACTAGACAAAAAGCTGAACAGACCAGCTTACTCCAATATCCAGAGCCAATCAGAGTTAAAAAAAAATCCAGAAAGGTATCTGTGAAAACATTTCATTTCTGATTCAAACATTAGCAATCAAATTCACACTGATTATTCTTAACATCAACATAGATTCATTAGACACCAAATACGATTAGTTTCACTACTTCTTTCAAACACCAGAGTAAACGCGCAACTCACAACTCTGAAAAACACAGATGTATCCTGCATTTTACTGTGGTAAAAAAATTCTACTCAAGAGAAACAATTCTACCCAAATCGAGACAAAATCATCAACCTAAAAAAAAAAAAATGTTGGATAGTCCCAAAATTATTACTACGTAAAAAGACATATAAGCCTTACAGCTCACGTCTTCCCACTTGCTCCAAGCACGGACGAGGTATGCACCGACCTTTCTTTGGCAGTCCCCGTCCTTTCCCGGATCGGGATCGCCTGTCCAGCAGCCTTCCCTTTGGACTGCTCGGCACAGTTACTCCACTTCGAAGGGCTTCACTGCCATTATCACTAACGGAATCGCCCCGGCCAGAGTCCCGGGACGAGTTTTTCCGCAGTCGTCTTTTTGCCTTGGCATTAATTCTAGCTTCATTAATGGAAGATGCTGAAATCCAATTCCCATTTATTTCATTCTTTATTTCCTCAGTCCCAGCATTTTCTTCATCGCCAGAAAAGAGTGAGTCACTTAAATTATCAGGATCTTAAAGAAAAAAAAAAGAAGATTCAAAATATTTTAACAATCTACTGCTATGCCATGTATAATCCTAAATTACATTAGGTTGACAGTATGGAATTACCATTTTCATATTTAACAATCACATACTGGCAACTTCATATAGTTCAATTCAATAAACAGGATTGTTTTTCACACTACCTATGAAAACCAAGCTAAGGCATTGAGCTTCAATGACCATCTGCTAAAAAAAAAAAAACGTGTTCTCACATGTTTGGATAGTAAAATCTATGCTCATATCAGCACAATAAAATCTTTACTCTGTCCTGAGCTGAGACAGTTAAGCAATTGGAGATACCAACAAAAGACAAAGGATTTTAAGATAAGGAAGGAAAACTAACATTTACAATGCAAGTACGCTATGCCGACTATTATCTATTAAGTATTGTGCTGAACACTTCATTTGCCAATAAATTTAGCAGTTAAATTATTATGCCACTTGTGTAAATAAAGAAACTAGAGTAGAGACCCTTTCAATGACTTGCCAAACATCCCTGATAAATTAAACTTAGGAAGTATTGGTGACACAAAAAAGAGCTTAGAGAGCATGGCGCAATAGCTCAGCGGCTAAATCCACGCCTTGCAACCTCCAGGATCCCACTTGGGTGCCAGTTCATGTCCCAGCTGCTCCTCTTCCCATCCAGCTCCCTTACTGCAGCCTGGAAAAGCAGCAGAGGATGGCCCAAACCCTTGGCACCCTGCACCCAGCTGGAGGACCTGGAAAAAGCTCCTGGGTCCTGGCTTCAAATTGGCTTAGCTTAGCTCATTGCAGCTATTTTGGGAGTGAACCAGTGAATGGAATATCCTTCTCTCTGTAAATCTTTCTTTTCAACAAAAATTAATCTTAAAAAAAAGAGAAGGTATGATATGGTACTGTTGAGCTGAACTGCTGATGCTTCAAGCCTTCAAGATCAAGTTTGCTGGGCCCAGTTGGATGGTTCAGTGGCTAAATTCTCGCCTTGCAAAGACCAGGATCCTATATAGGCACCAGTTCAGTCCCAACTGCTCTATTTCCCATCTAGCAGAGGATGGCCCAAAGCCTTGGAACCCTGTACCCACATGGGAGACCAAGAGAAAGCCTCTGGCTGCTAGCTTCAGATCGGCTCAGCTCCACTGTTGTGGCTACTTGGGAAGTAAGCCAGCAAACAGAAGATCTTTCTCTTTCGCTGTGTCTCCTTCTCTATATATATCTGCCTTTCAAAAAATAATAATAATAAATCTCTAAAGAAAAAAAGATTAAGTCTGCTTTCAAATTCATCATCTCAAAGGTTTTCTTTAAGATTATGTATATTTATTGGGAAGTCAGATGTACAAAGAGGAGTAGAGACAGAGAGGAAGATCATCCGTCCGATGACTCACTCCCACAGCGGCCAGAGCTGTGCCAATACGAAGCCAAGGGCCAGGAACTTCTTACAGGTCTCCCACACGGGTACAGGGTCCAAAGCCTTGGGCCATCCTCAACTGCTTTCCCAGACCACAAGCAGGGAACTGGATGGGAAGCAGGGCCGCTGGGATTAGAACTGGCATCCATATGGGATCCTGGGGTGCATCCAAGGCAAGGACCTTAGCTGCTAGGCCACAGTGTTGGGCCACATCATCTCAAGGTTTTAATCTCTCAAAACCAACTCCCATCACAATCCATCCCTTTGAAAAGTGTCCAGCTTACATAAAATTATTGCGTTGTCCACAGGAAAATAACATCTGGGGCATTCCAACAGTCTCTGCTAGAGCATCATCCTTGCAGCTCTCTTCAGTTACCTTCAGGCTAAAGTCAAATCTTACTCCCTCAAGGAAAGCATTCCTAACTACTCCAAAGACTCTAACATTCACTGACCATTCATTTCCCATACCTCGGAGATGACATCTTTACAATGTATGTCGTGCTGCTGACTCACTGCCCTCCCAGGAACGGCAGGCAGGACCTCAAGGACCTGAGCCACTGCGGCAGCCTCCCAGGATCTTAACCCAGAGCAGGGCTCTCTCAGCCAACATCCCAACTGCAAGGCTAACCGCACGCCCTACAGAACAATTAACTCTCCCTTGGAATATTGTTCAATTTGAACATGTTAGTTGAAAATTTGTCCAAATTGAACATATTTGCCAAACCCGAAGTTTTTTCCCAACTGTTTTAAACCTTGAAATATATGTCAACATGTCCACAAAACTAAATATTCTCTCTAGGCATACTTTTTTATATATGACCTCATCATTTTTAACATTTACATACTTGATAAGCAGAGTTATGGAGAGGAATCTATCAGCCAGGGATGGGCCAGCCTGAAACCAGAAGCCACTAGCTTCATCTGGGTCCCCCACTTGGATACAGAGGCTCAAAGACATGGGCCAGCTGCCACCACTTTCCAGGTGCATCAGCAGGAGGCTGCACAGGAAGCACAGCAGCAGGCCTCGAACCTCAGCCTGTATAAGATGCCGGTGCGGCAGGCACCAATTTTTTTAAGATTTTTTTTTAGAATTTTTATTGGAAAGTCAGATTTACAGAGAGGAAGAGATACAAAGATCTTCCATTCACTAGTTCACTCCCCAAGCGGCTGCAACAGCCAGAACTGAGCCAATCCGAAGCCAGAAAATTGGAGCCTCCTCCAGGTCCTCCACCTGGGTGCAGGGTCCCAAGGCTTTGGGCTGTCTTCAACTGCTTTCCCAGACCACAAGCAGGGAGCTGGATGGGAAGAGGGGCCACTGGGATTAGAACCAGTGCCTATACGGGATCCTGGCATGTGTAGGGTGAAGACTTTAGCCACTAGCCTACTGTGCCAGGTCCTGCAGGCAGCAGTTTAACCCAAGGTGCCAGTCTCTTGACCTCAGCATTTTTAACCCATGTTAGCATCAATTTTTTTTTATATTTTGTTATTTGCATTTAACTTTCTGCGATTCCATAACCATTACTGATTTGATCTTAAGCAAATCAAAATTAAAGGATAAGAAAGCCAAGTACAGAAGATGGCAACTTAAAAGTTGCTTTCTACTATAAACCAATTATCTTCCTGAATTCTTGGATATCTCAGTAGTAACCACTGCAGTTTTCATGACCACTGCACCAATCATATCCTTAACTGCTAGTGTTCAATGAGAGGCATAACTGCTACTAGCAATACTTTCATGCATTGCACATGTAATACATGCTACAGGCTTCACACACACACACATGTCCTAACAATAAATCCATACAATTGGCACTCATACCCTGACTACTAGGTAATTACTGAAGGAAAAGAAATCCTTTATTATAAGGAAGTTTGGGCAGAGGCATCAAGGACAGGATTAGAAGTATACCTTCTGGCAGTGAAAAACCAAAAGCATAAACTTCAGAACTGTGCTAATACAAAGTTAGTGCGGTTACATACATAATTTTAAATTTTCTAGTATCCACATTGTAAAGTAAAAAAGAAACAAGTGAAATTAACACATTTTCTTAAATTAGTATAACCATCGCATCATGTAACATGCACTTGACAAATTGTTGATGCATTTCACCTTCATCTCAGACTGGCCCCATTTCAAGTGCTCAACAGTCACATGTGGCTAGTGGCATTGGAGAAGCAATGCCTACATGGGAAACAAATTCTCAAACTGTATTTTTGGCACCCCACCTCCAGGCTCCTCATTTTGGACAGACCCAGCTCTAGCCACTACAGCTATTTGGGGAGTAAGCCAGCGGAAGGAAGATCTCTGTCTCCCCGTCTTTCAAATGAATAAATGAACCCTTAAAAATAAATAAATCACTGTTCATACAACCACAATATGAGCTTATAGCAGCACAGAAATCATTAATTATTACAACAATTTTCAACTATAGCTTGAACATAGTTTAAATCAGATTTGTAAATACAAAATGACAAACAAGTTTCAACTTCAGGTTATTTGTCCAAGTCAAGGAAACCTACACACTGTTGTGTCTAATAGTGAATGGAAGTTACTACAGAAATGATTTAATAATGAAATGTACTTAAAATTATAGAAAATCAACAGCTTTTAATACTAATAATATAAAACTAATAAGGTATAAAGATACTACTATAATTTTCTAAAATATTATCAATATGAATATCTTACTATTCATATATTACATAATCTTAATTCTTTTGGCGACTGTTCTGAAAGCTGCACAGGAAATATATTTTCCATTATCTTAAGTTACTGTCAGCATTTGGCCTTAATTACACAAGATCTTGTTCTTGTTTATGATAACCCTGGCTTCAGCCTAACTCAAACCCAAATATCGCAGGCATCTGGGAAATAAACCTGCAAATGAAATAACTGCTTGTCCTTCTGTGTGTGTTTGAGTGTGCGTATGTGTGTCTTTTTGAAATAAGTACACAGAAAATTTCACTATCATGATTTCATACACTCCGGATTGACCTGAAGATTGTTCACAAGACAGCCAAGGCTGAAGACGCTGTTACTTACCTGTGGGGTTTACATTCAGTATCTGCTCATTTTCTACATCCATTGTTCCTTAATTTCACTTGCACTGATTAAACAAATTACCAAATGGAAATCTTCCTTTAGGATCTGGTTTTCAAAAATGAAAAACAAACACTTAACATGTAAACTGACAGAAGATAATTTCAATTTACTTAAGCACACATTTTAAAAATTCATTTTTTAAAGATTTATTTCTAATTGCAAAGTCAGATATACAGAGAGGAGGAGAGACAGAGAGGAAGATCTTCTGTCTGATGGTTCACTCCTCAAGTGGCCACAATAGCTGCACCAATCCAAAGCCAGGAGCCAGGAACTTCTTTCAGGTCTCCCATGCAGGCACAGGGTTCCAAGCCTTTGGGCCATCCTCAATTGCTTTCCCAGGCCACAAGCAGGGAGCTGGGAAGAGGGGCCTCTGGAATTAGAACTGGGGTCCTAACACATTCAAGGCGTGGACTTTAGCCGCTAGGCCACCGTGCCGGGCCCTAAAAAATTCATTTAAGGGTTCATTTAACTTTCAAAGATAGCTTGCCCTTACGAACATTTGCTTCCAATCTTCTCAGTTTATCTAATTAAAAATCTGCAGATTTCAGCTTGTGCCAAAGACATCATTTAACTTAAAATTTTAAAAATATCTTCTATATATGTTTACTTCAAGTTTAAAAGATGTGAGTGGGCTGGTGTTGTGGCTTAACACGGTAAGCCGCAGCCTAAAGTGTTGACATGCCACATGGGCACAGTCCAAGTCCTGCCTGCTCTCCTTCCTATCCAGTCCCTGCTAATTGTATAGGAAAGCAGCAGAGGTTGGTCCAAGTCCCCGGGCCCTTGCATACACATGAAAAAGCTAGCCCCAGCCTCAGCCGTTGTGGCCATTTGGGGAGTGAGTCAGCAGATGAAAATCCATTTCTCCTTCTCTGTTACTCTGCCTTTCAAATAAAAGTAAGTAGGGGTTAGGCTGTGGCATTGCAATCTAGGTCTCTGCCTGAGGCACCAGCATCCCATGTGGAGCCTGTTCTAGCTGCAGGCACTTCCGACCTGGCTCCCTCGTTTCTGCTCCTGGATCCAAGGACCACCTTGGGGAAAACATTCTCTGCACAATCAAGCCGGGAAGAGAAATTAAACCATCCATACTTCAAAACACTTTGTGATTTGAAGAGGCATATGTCATGTACCTTGCAGGTGGATATTCTAGTTTGCACATGACCAAACAGACTCAGAGAGGGCAAGCGATCTGTCCCTAGCTGCTCAGCAGATCAAAGCCTAGAGCCCAGAGTTTTAAACCCAAAACGGCAGGTGCCAAGTTCAGTGGAAGACTTTGCTATTCCACAGGAAGGTTCTTCATCAAGGTTAACTGAGTGAGCCTATTAAAACAGAATTCTGTTGTATCAGATTTTTAAATGCTGTTTTCCAAACACTATAATGATTTTAAAACTATTAAACTATTCAGCAGTTAAGCAAAGGAAATTATCAGATAACCATCTGTAACTAAGTTTTTTTTCATTCAGTAATCACAACCAAAAAATGTCTTTAAGCAATAACTCCAAAAGGCAACTTAACTGCATGGGACAGCAAGAAAAAAAGCTGTTTTGCATTTGAGAGATAAAAGTACGCTGGTTTGCTGGTGCTTTCATTCTCTTCACAGCAGCAAGGGGGCAAGCCCTTGGCCCAGCAGTTCAGATGCCCACATCTCCCCCCAGCCTCAGAGCTGGAGTGCTGCACCAGTTCCCAATGCCAGCTTCCTGCCAATGCCCACCATGGCAAGCAGCAGTGAGGGCCCCAACCCGTGGGCCTCTGAGTCCCTGGCGGGAGACCTGGACTGAGCTCAGAGCTCCTGGCTTCTGCCTGGCCCAGCGCCAGCTGGTGTGGGCATGTGGGGAGGGAATCAACAGATGGCAGTGCTGTAGCTGTCGCTCTTTCAAATAAGCAAAAAATAAACACAATTTTAAGAAGGTTTATTTCCCTAATTTAATAAACAACTCTCAAGGAAACGCAATGCAATGAAGTTAAAATCCCATTTCCTTCACACTAATCTACAAAAATTAATATTCAATGAGAAAATTACACAAGTTCCAAGAAATTAAGGCTGAAATTATTTTGTTTCCTTCAGTATATTACACAGAAACACAAAACTATTCAATCACCAGGATATTCTCTAAAACAGAGCCTCCTCTCCTTCAAATCTCTTTCCTGACCTTATAAATTACTCTGGCATTCGGGAGAGTCAAATTTTGTTCACGTTTTAACTGGAAAATTATGGAAATTGATTTCCGGGTTATAACCCCAACAATTAACGTTCTACTACAATAATGCAAAAGCAAGCGTTACAGAAAATGTGCAAAGAGTATTTCTTATTTGTACTCCTGACAATTATTGTCCTTTCCCATCATCACTAACAGGAAAAAAATCTATCACGTTGTCACAGAAAGATGCAGAAGGGGGAATTCGGCAAAGCCACCCGAAGGACGCTAACGTGTGCAGAGTTCTCTCAAGCCCTAAGCTCACAGTTCAACACACACACAGCAACCACCCGCCCCCACGCCACGCATCCCTAAGCAGCATTTTTAGCCATTTTCATCGCCCGCAACCACTACGAATGGCTGCCACGCAGCCAGTTCCCAGGGGGCCCCATGGCAGCGAAGGGGGGGCCACGCAGACGTCTGCACAGGGCTGTGAGGCTCTTGCAACAACAAGCCCAGTGGGGGAGGTCTGGGCCCCCAACGGCCGCAGGCAGCAGCACCACAGCGCGTGTTGCACAGAAACGGGGCGCCCTTCCCGCCGGGGAAGCGGCATTGCACTCCAAGTAAAGGGGCACGCGTCCATCCCCCAGCGCACCCCTCCCAGCAGCCGGCGCAGACCCGCACCCCAGACGCCCCCCGCCCCGGTCGGGTCCCGGGGCGCAGACCAAAGTAGGGTTCCTGGACACACACACACACACACACACACACACACACACACACCACCTCCCCTCCCCACCAACAACCACCCCGCTCCTCATAACTCAACTCCGCCCGGGGAGGTGCGGGGGGCGCGCCCCGCGCATCCCACCAAGCGGGGAGGGGAGCTCAGGCAAGGGAAGAGGGGGTCTGCGAGGGGGCGGGCCCGCGCCGCCGCGCCCCAGGCCGGGCCCTGGAGGACGGAGCCCGGGCCGGCTGGCCGCAGGCCGGGGCGTTGAGACCGGCGCGCCGGGGCCTGCGGGGCTTCGAAGGAGGCGCCGGGACCCCGACCGCGTCGGCCCGGCCGCGGCCTCCACGCCCCCTCCCCCTCCCAACGTGCGGCCGCCTCCCCGGAGAGACCCGGCCGGGGGAGACGGGCGCAGTCTTCCCGAGCGTGCGAGCCCGCGCCCGCCGCCACTGACCCCTCAGGCCTCGGCCGCCGCTGCTCCAGGACCCCGGTCCGCCGGCCAAGGCCCCGCTCCTCAGCCTCCGCCGCCGCCTCAGAGCGTCTCTGCTCCCTCTCGCTCTGTTTTTGTTTTGTTCTACCCAGTAACACGGGGGCGAGAGGGCGTCGTTCATTGGTCGAGGGGGGGAGGTCGGCTGGCCAATGGCGGCGGCGGAGCTGGAGCCGGGGAGGGAAAGGCAGGGAAGTGAAACGTGGAAAGTTGGGGCGGGAAGCGGGAGGGCGCACGCGCGTGCGGCCCTGGGGCGCGTCGGGGAGGCTGGCTGGGGCGGGAGCGGGAAGCGGGTGCGGGCTGTTGGATGGCGTGGCGGGATGGAAGTGAGGGGCGTGGGTACTAGGGCAGGCTGCCTCGGTGCTGTTCACCAACCCAACCTTCTTGAGGCGTCGGGCACTGCTCATGGGAATACTCCTAACCTTTCCAGTTTCTTCTGGTGGTCACTTTGCGCTTCTAGCATGTGCAGAACCCACCCCGCCCCGGGCTACAAGTTTTGCTCTCTGAGAAAGAAATTCCCATTTCAGAGGAAAGGCAACAACCCCCCACCCAACTCCCCCAAGTCCCCCGGGGTTAACCATGACCAGCCGGGCAACTGGGGTTCAGATGCACACATTGCATGTTCCAATATTGGGGTTCTCAACGGCGGCTGTCCTTTCTCTTTTTCCCGTGCCTGTTCTGGCTGCGTCCCCGTGGGCTGGCCTTTCTCTCCCTGAGGTAACCACCAGCCCGCTATGCTGTCCCTTCATTCCTCAGTGCTGCCTTGCATCTCTGGAGGCACTGGTTCCATTCTACCTGGCAATATGTCTTGTCCCGCCTCTCCTTACTGTCTGGATCTTCTCTGCTGTCGCATTGCTTAAGACAATGCCTGCTACATTTATTACACCCATGCAATAAGTACACCTTGGTATGTGGACAAAAGATGCTCAGAATTGGGGGGGGGGGGTCCTTCCTGTCTCCTGGGCAGGGGCTTCTCACATAGCTAGCTCCTGAATTAGCCTGGTGAGTCATGTTCATTTTGCAGATCGAAGCTTCCCGGCTGCTCAGGTGTGTTGATTTTTCCATCATCTGCAGCTGTCTCCCTTCCTGACAGGGGCCACTGGCTCCTTTCTTTATTACTGCTGTGTTTATTACCATTATTATTGCTCGTTCTCTGTATTTTCCCTTGTCTCATTCTTTTTCCTTTCTTCTTCCCTTCTGCCTTCCATCTGGTTACTCATTTAACATCTCTGTTAAGCACCAATGGCATAAACGGGCTGTGTGGGACCTGCATCCCCAGATCTCTGAGACAGGAAAGAATGGGGTATGATTACCATTTTTAAAGAGCAGTTAAAACAGTTTGTATATGTTGCAAATTGCCTCCAGAAGGACCCATTTATGGGGAAAAAATGACTCGCATCCTTTTCGCCCACTTTCCTCAAGTTCTGTTCACACTGGCTGGCACTCCAGGGGCCGCCGTCAGAAAACTCTGCCATAGTAGAGCGTTGTTGATCAACTAGACAGTCACAGAGTGGGTTTCCACTTCTGACCCCTGGAAGCTTCCTGTGGGAATAGGTCCCCTGTTTCTTCACTAAGAAGACTTACAAACAGGGTTCTTAGGGTTGCTTTCCAAAGAACACAAAGTCTGTGGGACTTCCAGTGGATGGCACACAGAAATGGGAGAAAGAAGTGTTCCATGAGCTATTCCTTAACGGACTGTTGGTCACCTGTGCCTTTGCGCTGCAACCAGAGAAATAAAGTCTAAAATCAAAAGGAACTGAAAATGGAAACGTATCCAGCTGTCAGGAATTTTTGCCTCCCGGATCAATCCCCAAATATTGATTGTGTGCCTTTTCTGTGAGAAGCAGCGAGTCGGTCCAGCTGTGTTGAAGGATTCCACAAGGTGTGGGGGTGTGGACGGAGACTCCGTTTTCACCCACAGGCTTTCACTGAATGCGAAGCTTGAGTCACATCACCTCCCTCCATCCCAAAACTAAGTGGGAAGGAGGTGTCCATCCAGTTAGGTGTGTCCGTGGGTTAATGTGAGTACATTACTTGGAAGTGCACAGGAGAAACACCTAGGCCTGCCAGTACTATTCCTGGAACTCCACAAGGCGTTTTCATTCTTTGGGCAAAGCCGTGCTGAAGAACTCCGAGTTTCTTCATAAGCACTGCTCGTACCCCTCCAGTGAGGTCGGAGAGAGGCCATCCTTTCGAGGACGGAAGGTAGGTTAAACCCACTTCCTTCTCAAGAACTTGCAGGTGCCGTTGTCATTTGCAACAACATCCACCTGAGCTAATAGTTGGCCCTTTTTTTTTTTTTGTCAAAACATGGCCTGAAGTTTAGGAATTTCTGGAAGGCAGGAATTGCTCTTTAGCAAAAAAGGGTACAGACATGAAGCATCCTTTGAAAAAAAAGCTACATGAAGGATTGGAACAATGATGACAGCTGTTGCGTTGCTAAAAGATTTACCAATAAGCACTTCGGCATACACTTTCAGCACTCCCTCTAGAAGTAAACTGGACTTTCCATATTTTAAACAAGAGGGAAATGAGGCTTGAGCAGGGCACTGGTCATTGTGGGTGTTTGAGGTTGACAAGAACTGGGAGCCCTCCTAGCCCAAAGCCTTCATTCTATAAATACAGAAGCTGAGATACGGCGAAAGTAAGTGAAGTACCCAAAGCCACACACTGAGTGCCAGAGCCAGGGGTGCAAGTGCCATCTCCGCACCCGGCTGTGGCAGAGAATGTGTAGACCAGGGAAGCCAGACCTGCCACCACTTGGCCTGAAGTCTCTCAACTTCAGCCAGACACCTCAGCCCATTCCTGGTCCCCGCCGTCTCTTGGCTTCAAGGTCCTTGAAGGGAGAAAGAAGGATTTATATGACATCAAAAGACTGCTCATGTGGCGTTTTTCAAGAACCTGAGAAAGGGCCATAGAACAGTATAGAGCATAGCACAAAGAAGTAGATGCAGTATCTGAATATAGTACTGCCAAGATATTTTGAGAAACATGATCAGGTTTTACTTCCCTAATTCAGATGTTGAGAGTTTGTCTAGGTGCATCTGTCTTTTGTCCATTTCCTCTCCTCTTCCCCTCCCCCAAATCACTCTTGCCCTCCTCCCCCAAATCACTCTTGCCACCTTGAGCATTTAAAAATAAGCTCTGTTAAGATGAAAGAACTCCCAAAGAAGAGCTTTCCCTGAAACTCCATAAACTGGACCCCATCTGCTATACCTGGCCTGAGTTCCAAGCCTATGAAAAGGTCAGCTCCCCAGACTTCAGCAATTACAGACCATTCACCCCGATGCTTTCCAGTACTTTCTGTAACAGCCGCACCCTACATTGAATTGTGTTGAGTCAGGGTAAAGTGCTCTTCCAAGTGCATCTCTGGGGGCTTTCTTTGCATTCTTCTGGAACACTAGGTTATGCTTCAGCCTTCTCACATCAACCCTGTGCTCTCTACTGAGCCCCGCATGC